TCCAACTGAAATGGCTACTGAAGGAAATAAAGTTGACAGGTGAGTTTTCTCAGCTGAGTTTTTTTGTTTAACAATATCAGCGGTTACTGTACGATCTATGCATAGGCGTTAATTTTATGTCTCCATTAAGATTTTTTAAATCCACTACTAATCTAGTCATTAAAGGTATGCATAACTTTAGCTTGTGTGGGACGCCCCCCCGCTCACCCCACAACTAGATGGAGTGCCGATCTGAGGAGTAAGACATGCCCGAAATCGATGGTTGTAGGTTGCAGGTGACTCAGGACCGTGCTTTGTGGCATTCTTTGTTTCTTTGTGGGAGGCCTATATTCAACAGTGGACTTGTGAATGGCTGTAATGATAATGATGAATTACTTGAAGAATTATCCATACACATCACGCCGTGGACCATATCGAGGCTTTACTGATAAAACCGGTTATCTGCATTTTTTTTTCCGTGAAAATGAGTTAAATGTACACTTCGACTCTGAATTTTTTTCTTCATTTTCTGGTAAAACCCCGACTAGGGTTACCATATCTCAGGATTTGTCCTGAGATTTCAGGATTTTAAGACTCTTCTCAGGATTGCGGTTGGATTTTGCAAATCTCATGAAATCTCAGGATTTTTAGAACTTTCAATATAATACAGCTTACATCTTTTCTCTTACATCTTAGAGATCTCTTTAATAAAAAGTTAAACAAATTAAAAATAATTTTCCTTTGGTAATAATTCCACAATTAAAATGAAAACTTATTTATACAAGTAGGTACTTAAACAGTTTTATCATACTTAATATGTGAAGATACCTTTTTAAGTAAGGTTTTCTTCTCAAACTGTAAAAAAAATTCAGGATTTTTAAATCGAAATCAGGCCTCTTCTCCGGACTTTTAATTTTTTCATCTGGTAACCCTAGCCCCGACTCTTCTACGAAAAATAAGATTAACTTCATAATGACGATCAGACGCCAACACTTCCCCGATGTGTTAGTGATCGCGAGGGAGAAAACTGGTAGAAAACACCGAGTGGTGAGTGTCACCTGAGATATGAGAGGTTTTAAGACCAGCTGTACACACCATCTCTCCTAAAAACTGGTTCGATAAAAACCTCTGTCCTAGGAAGAACCAGGACTTAACAAATTAGGAATAAATTGGTAGCAATCACCATATTCCCAGGGGTTATTGTCATCCATAAATTCCTTAATATTGTAATAACCCTTTTTATACAAACTTGGTTTGATAAAGTTTTTGAACTTTGTTAAACTACGTAAAGTAAGTAAAAAGTAAAGTAAGTTTTTATATTCCAACTAGCTGAGCCCCGCGACTTCGCCCGCGTGGAATTTACTACAATTTCATGGCTATCAATTTTTTTACGCAGAACAATAATTTTATTTTTGAGTAATGTTACCATATTATAAATATTGACAAATATTGACATTAATATTTATACGATACTAACGTCACTCAATTGTTTTGCCTTTCCGGAACCCCTCCACTAACACTTAAACTTTATGGCATGGTATTAAAGTTCAAATTGACTTTTAAGTATTACTAAGAATCTGTATGGGAATATAGAAAAGTGTTGTTTTTAGACTTTTTCAGGCATTTTTTTAAATTTTTCTCTCCGTAAGAACCATCTTCGTACATCAAGGAATATTATAAAAAAAAAGAATTAGCGAAATTGGGTCAGCTGCTCTCGAGATTTGCGCTTAGCAGCACATTCAGCGATTCATTTTTATGTTATGTATAGAATATTTGATTCTAGAACTATCTTTAAATAGATATCTGAATCTCTTCCGATGATATTCGGGGCGTCAATCAAAGCAAGGTTATGATGACTGTTCAGCACATTAAAAATGACAAGACCCCCGGGTGGGAATAAAATTAAAGCGGAGCTTATAAAAGTAGGTGGAAAACCGGGTCCTTCAAAAGCTTTTTAATTCCATCCTCCATGGTGGCGCTATAGTAACCACCGCACTTCTAGATATCCCGAAGGAGTGAAGCTTAAATGCAGTAGACTAATTCTTAAATAAATAATAGTTAAAAAAAAAAACTAAAAAAAACTCGCTTTTGTAGATAACCGAACTAAAAAGTAGAAAATATTTTTCAATAAGTTTAAAATAAGAAAATAGTAATTAGCATAAAAAATAATTTTATTGTAAACGCTTTTTTACAAGAAATTCAGTTTTTTTTTAGTTTTTTTAAACTACTTATTATTTATTTTCTATTTTTAGTGCGGCTAACTACAAAAGCGTGTTTTGTTTACGTGGCTTACAGTATATTGAACTGGCTGAAATCGTTGTTCTTTTATGAATTATTCGCAAATCCTGATGATCCTGGCAAGGATAATGGGTCTAACTATTTAAATTATTGCATTGTCATTGGACCTCGATAAGTGTGCGAAGTTACAAATCAATTCGACGTTTAGAAGGGGATGAAAATCACATTAAAAAATTCCGTTACATAAATACATACCAAATTAATAAAAGCGTGTTAAATAATTAAAAATTAAAAACTTTGTACAGCCGACTTCAATATAAATTATTAAGAATAACTAAAAACTATTGGTCCGACCTTGATCAAATTTATATGAGCACATGTGAAGCACCATCTTTCAAATAAAAAAAAGAAACATCGAAATCAGTTCACCCAGTAAAAAGTTATGAGGACACACATAAAAAAACATACAGTCGAATTGAGTACCCAGCTCCTTTTTGAAGTCGGTAGAAAAGTCGCAATCGATTATTCTTCTGAACCGCGTCTACCTGCTGTATTCTAGAGATAATTTTCAGCCTATCGAAGAAGCCGGTTTTCGAAGACATAGTATTCACATACATCATACATATCATTCGGCAAATTTTATAGAAGACCAAAGAGTACAATCTGCCACTTTGTCTTACGTAAGGAGAATATGAGAAAGCCTTAATTCCGTAGAAATTTGGGCGGTGCTACAGAATTCTTCACCTCCACCGATGCTTGTTTTAATGTTTGGTTTTAATTTTTTTAAAAACGTTATTTTTTCAAAAACGTTACCCCCACACTAGGAGATTCTCCTGTATCGTGGAGACAGTTTACAAACACAAATTTCACAAGGACAAACATCCAGACCCGGAACAATTATTTGTAGGCCATACAAATACTTGTTCCGTGCGGGGTTCGAACCCGCGCCCCCCAGCGCAGCAACTCATTGCTAAGGCACTGCGCCACGAGCCGGATGCTAAGTCTATTGTCAAGGCTTAGTGAGTGTAGAGAACCGGAGACCCTTTTTACTGAAAAAGAGAAATTCCATCTCAGTCCTCACGGGTGACAACGCATCTGCATTTTGATTCGCAAACGAGGATAAATGTAGGTGTCTATGGGCCACAGCAAACACTTACCATCGGGTGGACTGTGTGCTCGTTTGTCACCCTATCCTATAAAAAAAAACTTTGGCTGGCGGTAACGTGCAAGGCCAAGCTAAAAAAAGGAAGGAAAGTTAAATGTGGATGAAAAAATATTTGCTCCTCAGAGAAAAACTATCGAATATGCAAATAGTCAGCGTTTTGGACCCAACAGACCTGCGAAACTATTTTAATGAGTAGGTGAAAACCAATTCGACGAGTTATTAAGCTTAGTGACGCCTTTAATAGAAAAAAATTCTTTAATGATTTCTTATAGTTACGCGAACGAAGAAACGAAGATTCTATCGCCTTTAATTTTTTTTTTTATATTAATTACCGACGTTTCGGATGCTTTACAGCAACCAGTCCCCCGTGACCATGGGTAGTAAAGCACCCGAAACGTCGGGAATTAATAAAAAAAAATATTAAACGCGATAGAATCCGTAAATGAAGTTTTATTCAAAAGAATACTTTTTTAAGAGAGATTGGTTGTCACTTTACGATTTTGGCCACTGGAAACTCCTATCAAGTTTTGATAAGGCATATCTTTGTAGATGTCGATGACATTGAGAAGGATCTTTTTCTTTAGCGCATGACATAAATACGAGTAATGATTTAGAGAGTAGATCGACATAGTAGAACTTTAAATAAACAAACGTGTAGACTGTGCGCATGCGGGATGCGGCCCACAAATTATAAAGTTGTATGATGCGGCCACGCAACTGAGCTCCCTGCCTCCCTGTCTCTTATTACACTACACGATCCACAGCGCGGCAGGGAAGCAGGGCGGTCGGAACCACTCGGTCGCCCTGTTTAGGGACCCTAACTCCCTGTTTCTTATTACACTACCCTGTCCCTGCGGGCAGGGCCCGAGAAATCGTGTAATGTAATAAGCCTTTAAATCGATGCTAAAATTTCAGACAGGTGTAAGATTGGGTGATGTTATATCCCTAAACTCTTCATCGCTGCATTGGGAGATATTTTTAATAATAATAATAATAATAATAAATATTTATTGCCACACAATAATAAGTTTACAAATGAAAAGTTTACAAAGTAAGTATACACATAAAAATGATTAGACTTAAAATTTTTATAAAAAAATGAACATTCACAATTAACAGAATAACTAATATTACTCAGTATACGATTATAATGTGAGGCAACGGGCACAGGCTCAGTATTCGCTGGGCATTATGCTCAGCACTGTTTTTCAGCCAGTCCAGCTGTTGTGGGTATATTTTGGTCGCACGCACATCTTATTTAATTATGTATTGTTGGTAAACCTCTTTACAGTCAATGTGTTAGATGAAAAAAAAACTTTATTACAGAATAAACATACAGTTATTCGGCCTAAAAAGACTTCTGTTTATGTAATAACTCCTTTTTAACCTTTTTTTTAAATGTTTCAAATGTAATATTAAAATTTTCTTTTAAGGGTGGTGGCAAATCATTCCATATTTTTGCGGCCGAATATTTAAAACTGCGGTTACCTTCCCGCCTGCCCAGCGTGGCAACAATGGTCAATATCCCCTCCATTGCTGATCATAGTCATCCAGCCAATTCATTTATGTTGGACTGCTGAGCATGAATGAATTACTCAACTATGGATTTCATTCTAGAATGATTTCAACATCATCCGTGCCTACCGCACCCATATTGCGAAATCTGAACGCAGTCCTAGCCGACATCTACTGCAGGTATATAGCTTTGAAGAAGGAGGACTGCGCACTTCACTATGGAGTGTTCACCGAAGTATTTCTGAAACTTCACGATACTATGAAAAAGGTTGATTCTTACTATGGACGCTATTCAAGTGCGGTACGTATTGACCATTGAATATATTATGTTAATGATGATACCAAATTATTTGGAACCAACTGCGATAAAGTCCATAAGGATGAAAATATTGACTGATATGTATATATCATATTACCTACCTTTATATATAACGATGGATTTAGGTCGCCACAAGAAATGCCACAAAACACGGTCCTGTGTTTTGTGGCATTTCTTGGGGGAGGCTTTTGCAGCAATCAACTTGTGGTTGTGAAAGGTTGTAATGATGATGATGGTGATGTATATGGCATAAATACTAACTAATACAGTAAATATGTTTGCATGTGTGAATACGAATATATGTTCGTTTTTATGTCCGCCCCCAAATCTTAAACTAATAACTGTATAGTCGCATTGAGATAATTTACGTAGTAACATATTATCTCAATGTATAGTCGTCGGATTTTGACCATAAATAATATACTGCGATCTTGTTATGTAATGTAACAATTTTTTTTATAGTAAGGGTACAAACGGGCACACAGTCCACCTGATGGTAAGTGGATGCTGTGGCCCATAGACATCTACATTTATCCCGGATTAAGAATCAAAATGCAGATGCGTTGTCACCCCTAAGATGGAATGCCTCGTTTCCAGTAAAAAAGGTCTCTGGTTCTCTACACTCACCATACGAAACACAGCAGTGTTGAGCTGCTATTTTACGCTGGTATTCTGTCAGAGCGTGCTCCTTCGCCGGCCCAGTCGACCTATTCGTCGTGCTACAATATTATAGCTGCAGTTTGGCTCTACCACGTAAGAAGCATGTAGTGCGGTGTAAAGCCTGGCGTCGACTACAGCAGAAATGCGTCGAATCGAAGCGAGTCGCATTTATTCCTAGTGCGTCCATCTCTGAAGAGTCGAATCGAATTGTTCATTCATCGCAAATTCTTCAACAAAATAGGTCGTATTTGCGTCATGGACAGCTCGAATGAAGAGATGTTTTTATTTCATCGTGATAATGTGGCTCTTCATAATTAAACAATTCTGGATATTGTTGGACCAGTGATGTCAATAGTTCTTCATTCATTTTTATTTAAACATAAAGATTTTTACGAAAACGAAATAGAAATTAATTAAAATACGCTGGCGTGCATCCACTTCACCGCGTCGACTGAGGCGCGCCGAGTTGAATCGAATCGCATCAGCGAAGAAATTCGCCTGTCGAGCAATTCGCGCGGTCGATTCAATACGGCGCGCCGCGGCTCGACGCTAATAGCCGCAGTTTCATAGTAAATATATAGGAGGCGACTTTCTGCGATTCGATTCGACTTGGCTCGGCGAGCCTAGTGGACGCTTAGCGTAAGGATATCCACTACCCCACACTCTCTCGTGAGTATCGTAAGAGCGAAAAGAAACAGAAGATGTGCAGCAGCTTCTTTCTGATAACAACACAAATTTAGAATAAATAACTGCGGTTGATAACCCGCCTGACAAGCACACCAATCCTGGCAAAGTTATGAGGTAACCTATGAGAAAGGCCTATGTTGCCCGTGGAATATTATAGGTTGCTGTAATGGATGGATATTTTTTTATAGGATTAGGGTGACAAACGAGCACACAGTCCACCTGATGGTTAGTGGTTGCTGCGGCCCATAGAAATCTATCCTTTATTATAAATCAAAATCCAGATGCGTTGTCACCCGTGAGCACTAAGATGGAATGCCTCATTTCCAGTAAAAAGGTCTCCGGTTCTCTACACCCACCATACGAAACACAGCAGCGTTGAGCTGCTATTTTACGCTGGTATTCTGTGAGAGCGTGGTCCTTCTCCGGTCGAGCAGCATGGCTCTACCACGTATAAAATGAATGTAAGGTTTGAAATCTTATTCAAGGTTGAAATTTTGTATTTAGTTGACCTTTTACTTTCAAAGGTAGGTTTATTCCTGTATTTATTTTTTTAACGCCGAGCAAATCTTATGTACTTTTCATAATCATAATTGCATTGACTTTTAATTCCTTTTTATTTTATGATTTTCATTGTGGACTGCAATGAATAAATGAATGCATGAATTCTAGGTGAAGTTCGCTGGAAGTCATTTCGACGGTTTGCGCATAAACAAGCCCGACGAGTATGATATGGATATAGTAATTAGAGTACCAGTAAGTATTAACCACAATAGTTGGACACCAGGCGCGAGCGATATCACCATTGAACCGAAGCACCCGGGCTTCGTGCAGCTTCGCGCCGGTGTGCAGTACCAAAGGATACCATTCCGAGATGGCGAGGACTGTGTTATAAACCGAACCGCGTACGAATGGTTAGACGCGAAGAACTACATTCTGCGCTCCAAGTTCACGAACTGGTTCAAGAGCGTAGTCACAAAAGCCCTTAACCAGCTACCACGGTATTGCGGCCTTCCGTCGATGTGCGTCAATGGGACCGTGCACACAATAAGAACAACCGAGAGTGGGCCCGCGTTCACACTCGTAATTGAGGGCCCGCGTGGCTTCAGACTCGACGTGGATCTGGTGCCGGCGTTGAAGTTCCCGGAGAGTCGTTGGCCGGTCGAAGGTTATCGGAGCATTCCTCCTGGCTGCAGCGTAGATTACTGGATGGTGGTGCCAAAACCAAATAAGAATGGGCATGACTGTTACGACGAGTCCCGCTCGTGGCGGATCGCACTTCACGAGCAAGAGAGGAAGTTAATGCATAATTCATACAATATGCATTTGACGATTAAGTTGGTAAGCTTAATTGAATTTCACTTTTCTTCACGTGGGTCGTTTAAATTTACTATTTTTCCTCTTTAATCATTGAGTTATAACCTACTTACAATTTAACAGCCCTTAAAAGTCATATGAGTCCACTGTTGAATTTGCCTTTATCGTCACACTTGACTGAATATTGACGGTCAAATTTAAAATAAATAATAATAATAACGTACATTATATATTATTATTTACAAAAATGAGGTTTATTGAAGGTTCTTATCAGGCAGAATATGTTGTTTTGTGAACCTGTGGTAAAGACATAAACGACTTTCAATAAGATTACTTCTCTAATCGTGTGTGACAATTTTTTGTAATAATTATATTAAAATAATTACTTATATTTCTAATTTAAATATACTTGAATGAAGTGTAATGTAAATGTTTATATTTTTAAGTTTTTCGGTTTACGTGGTAGAGTCATGCTGCAGCTATATTACTGGTATAGTTCCAGCACGAATGGATCGACTCGACCGGGGAAGGCCCACGCTCTCACAGAATATGACCGTAAAATAGCAGCTTAACGCTGCTGTGTTTTGTATGGTGAGTATAGAGAACAGCAGACCCTTTTTACTGGAAAAGGGGCATTCCATCTTAGTCATCAGGGATGGCATCACTACTGCACTTTGATTCGTAATCGAGGATAGATGTAGATGTCTATGGGCACAGCAACCACTTACCATCAGGTGGACTGTGTGCTCGTTTGTCACCCCTATCCTATAAGAAAAGACAGGCATTGTCTTGGTTGAACTGTAATGATGCTGTAATTGTGTTTGTAATAAATAAATAGACAAACGAGATGAAATGGGACGATAGATTCCCTTACACGGCTACCACATGGTACCACTGCATCATCTATCTCAGGGTTCCAAAGGCAATACTCGCTCCTTGTGACGGCTGGCAAGCATTATGTTGGACAAGCACAAACATCTTCGCACTCGTTTTAAGAAATAAACTCAAAGGCAATAATTTAATCTTCATTTTCAGTTGAAGAAGTTACGTGATTCCAGAGGCATGAACAAGATAGCGAGTTATTATATAAAGACATTGTTCCTGTGGGAGATAGTGGAGCTCAACGACCCAAGCTTCTGGAAGCGTAATGATCTAGCGACGCTTTTGAAGCACATGCTTAATAAATTCCATATCGCGCTGATAGAAGGGAAGATAAGTTACTTCTGGAACAGGAGATGCAACCTCATCGGCCACTTGAGTAGGCAGCTATTGGACAAGTATTCTGACATAGTGGGGAGCTTACTGAGGGCGTTAGACGACCGTCAAGGCCACGTCACGGCGGCCAAGTATTTGTTATCTGATGTGGAGTATGCGTCCTATCATAGATTTTTAAGCACCAATTGATGATGGTGTCAACCCTGTGTGGTGACGTGCCACACTGTACCACATGGTCGTGGAGGAGGATTGCCCACTACAAATGCCTTATTTTTTTTTCTTTTTCATGATGAACAAAAAGTATGCGTACCTATATCACAGATTTAGCTAAATCTGTGGCATAAATATTACTTTCTTGCTTATATCTACACTATTAAATAGCTCGCCACTTTTCGGACAACTACAAGAAAATATTTTTCATAAATACTTGTCAATTTTTATTACTGTCATATAATAGATAGATAGATGTATAATTCCTTATTGCACAAATCAAAAACGAAATTAGAAACAAAAAATAAAGTACATACTAAAAGCGAAATATACATCCAAACAACCAATGGATGGAGAGATTTGTAAAACGACAGAAAACTTAGTAGGTCGATAATGCTACAAGCTACAATATACCTACTACTATTATTCTATAAATATAAATAACGAAACATAAATTGTAATTTAATTTAAAATCTATACAAGTATTAAATGCAATATTACGTATATATTATATAAAATAAATAATAGATGCAGCATTCAGCTTAACACATTCCTAAAGGATATAGTATAGTATAGTAATTTTTTACCATTCATCAGATAATATTATCTCAATGTTTTTACAAGTTTTTAAAGATAGTAACGGTTGAGTGTGTCGTATGATAAACTCTTTCAGAAAATAATTTTGATGTACAATGTTGTCTGAGAATAGTTGCAACCCGTCATCGGGACCCATTTATTTGGACATTGTAATATTTAGGTACTAGGTACTTCTGTAGCTTTTGTAGAATTAGGATTACTTAAATACATATTTTTTTTATTATCAAAGACATTTAATTAGTTAGTATATTTAAATTTCTTTGTTTATTATATTATTTTCAATTTTGTTTCACTATGTAATACTCTCTAGACATATTGTGTAATAAAATTCAATAACTATATATAAAAATACTATAATAATCATAGATTTAGTATAAACTGACATTAGTTAATAAAGTCATAACTTTGTTTCAAACAATGATATGTAGTGTAAGTAATACATAAAATTCTTTTTACGTGGCAGAGCCATGCTGCAGCTATATTAGTAGCACGAATGGGTCGGCTCGACCGGCTAAGGACCACGCTCTCACAGAATACCAGCGTAAAATGGCAGCTTAACACTGCTGTGTTTCGTATGGTGAGTTTAGAGAACCGGAGACCTTTTTACTGGAAAAGAGGCTTTCCATCTTAGTCCTCACGGGTGACGAGCATCTGCATTTTTATTCTTTATTGAAGATAAATGTAGAAAGATGTCTATGGGTCACAGTAACCACTTACCATCAGGTGGACTGTGTGCTCGTTTGTCACCCTATCCTATAAAAAAAAATACAATGGGCAAACATTTAATAATTCTCACGTTCGTTGTTTGTATATCACAGCTATAATTACTTTCTTATCTATATTCGTTGAACGGATGTTTTAAGAACCTTAAATATGAAACTGCTTTTAAACCGGATACCGAGTACTTGAGATATTATATTTTAAAATAGATTAAATAACTTGACGCTTTATTTTGGCTTGACGGCATTATTTACGAGTAACAAAGTCGGGCCAACAAAGCTTTTTCTTTTAATTATTAAATTCAACTTGTGAATGTGTAAGTATTTGAGGTCACATTGCAATAAAAACCAAGCCCTAGCTAACTAGGGACCACAAGGCAGTGCTGTCGTTAGTTAGCCTGGATATCGCTGATACATAATACGAATCTGCGATTTATCAGCAATTATTGTTCTAATTTCGCTATCGCTAGCCTTCTGCAAGATACGTAATACGCCTACCGTAAGGGTGTGTCAGTTACTTAAGGATGTACTGTGTGGTGAAGGATGTGCTGTTCGTCGAATAAGCTATGTAAGAACATGCAATAACGTCAACTAAGCACTTTACACTCTTTATGTAACAATTACTGTAATATTTTATATGATGCTAATAACTAAATAAACGGTACAATGCAGTCATGTGGTTTCATTTACACATAGCAACCTGAAGGTATACCTATGTCTATGGGTTACAGCATACACTTTCCATCGGGTACTGTGCTCGTTTGTTACCCTAACTCTATAGAAAAAGGTGGGTATTTCTCTGAATAACCTAGAAAAGGGACGATGAACCTTGGTATTTATTAGTGTTCTGTGATACTAAAACCCTCGGACTGCGTAAGGAAATCCATCACCCATAAACTATATTCTCAAGCATAGGTATATCACGGGGAGTGCTCAGAGGAATTGTTCAGATTAATACAAGCTGCTGAGTTCCACCATCCTACACTCCGACAGAACTCAAAAGTCCATCCTCATCATTTCGTTGGCTGGCGGTCTACTAAAATGCAATTTAGTCGGGATTTTCTGCCTCGCGCGACCAAACTGTTGGAATATACTGCCGCTAGTGGTTTTTCCGAACTGATACGACTTAAGGACCTTCAAGAAAAAAGCCTACACGTTTATTAGTATTGCGCATGTTCTTGGACGACGGTGATCACTTATCATTAGGTGAGCCGCATGCTACTAAACTAACTAGTCAGTCCTCAGTCCACTCCGTTGGTGCCTTATGTAGTGACTAAAGAGTATAAAATCACTATGTCAACAACTATAGGCCTATCTCAGTACTTACATCTATTTCAAAAATTTTAGAAAAAATAATAAACATTCGAATAATTAAGTATTTAACTAAATATAACAAATTATCAAAAAATCAATTTGGATTTAGACAAAAAAATTCTACTGAAGACGCGGTTTTAGAACTTACTTCTTTAATAATTGAAAATGTTGATCACGGAAAAAAACGTATTACAGTTTTTCTTGATTTAAAAAAGGCATTTGACACCGTCTCGCTTCCCACTCTAGTTACTAAACTAGAACATATCGGCATTCGAGAAAAAGCACTTGAATTAATGAGCGACTATTTACAGGGACGTACCCAGAGGGTGAAAATTGGAGACTACCAAAGCCAAGACTTCGACATTACTTACGGCGTACCACAGGGGAATGTCTTGGGCCCTACTCTATTCTTGATATATATTAATACCAGCTCACTGAAAAACTTGAGCGAGTACATAACACAAAATACCTTGGAATAATTTTTGACCAACATCTTTCAACAGAATACGTAAACGCCAGAATTCGAAAGCTTATATGGATATTTAAAAAACTGCGTTACATTACAACGACTAAATTGATATCAAATTTATATGTACACATATTTAGCTCAGTCAGTTCTAGGATATTGCATTACGGTATGGGGAGGAGCGGCAAAAACTAACTTACTGAACATAGAAAGAGGACAACGATACCTTCTTAAATTTATGTATTTTAAGCCTATTAGATTTAATACCGAACAACTGTATAATATTAGTGATGTTCTTACGGTTAGGCAACTATATATTTTACAGTCAATTTTAAAAACACATACTAACTCGCCATATGATCCAAAAAAAAACATCTACACGGGGGAATCATAACGTCATTAAACAAATTTATGTAAAATCTAAATTTGCTGAGAGACAGTACTGTGCCCAATCAAGATATATGTATAATTACTTAAATAAAAAATTAAACTTTCACCGGCTTAATTATCGCGAATGTAAAAAAATACTAACCGATCATCTTAAAAAATTATCTTATAACACCACAGAAAACATTCTACGTCACGGAATTAAATAATATATTTGTTTATCAGAACAGAATAGAATAAAATAAAATTACATAAAATAATAATAATAAAAATGCTTACACTTTTAAGCACCTACAATCATGTACGTGTGATATACACTCACACGCGCACACTCACACACAAACACACACACACACACACACACACACACACACAAACACACACCTACTCTAAATCATAGGTAATCTTGCACGGCTTATCTCAATATTTAATGTTATTAGGAAGAGCGGTGCTTCCTAACACAGGTATTCTTTTATAATGGTGGTAGAGCCACGAAGCAGTTTTTGCTGTTGCACGTATGGGCCGGCTCGAACCGGGTTGGTACCACGACCTCACAGAATACCGGCGTGAAGTAGAAGCTCTGCTTCTGCGTTTCGTCTGGTGAGTGCAGGTGGCCGGAGGCCCAATTCCCCCCCCCCCCCCCCCCATCAACATGGTAGCGGAATTACACGTTAGACTACCCCAGGAGGGTACCAGCACCCCTGGAGAATCCCTCACTGAGCATCCACGACCATGTTATTCCACTCCTGAGCGTGGGTGCTCAGGCTGCCCCGCGTATTCTGGGGGAGGGGGGCGGCAAAATTCCGCTCAAAAACATAACTGCTCGGGGCAAACTGAGCAACAAGACCAAGGCGACCCCTGCCACGCTATCCGTGAATTTCTGCAACATCAGGGGACTTCACTCGAACCTAAACGCCGTCAACTACCATCTCGAGACGGCGAAGCCGGCCTTGCTTTTTCTGACCGAGACGCAGGTTTCCTCTTCGGCTGATATTTCGTATCTCTCCTACCCGGGGTACAAATTAGAGCACTCCTTTGTGCCTCGGGCTGGAGTTTGCGTGTATGCCAGAGAGGACATCTGTTCTCGACGCCTCGGCAGTCTTGAAGGTTCGGACCTGTCCATCCTATGCCTACGCGTAGACAGCGATGACCATCCGCGCGTCTACGGGTGCCTCTATAGGTCCCATAGCGGTAATGCCGAAACAGACCGACTCATTGACCACGTCCAAATGACTACAGATTCCTGCTACAACAGGTCCCATCCGCAAAGATCGTGATCCTTGGCGATTTTAACGCCCACCACGCCGAATGGCTCGGTTCACGTTTAACCGATCATGCGGGGAGATCTGTTTATGACTTTGCTTTGGCATATGGTCTGACACAACTGGTTACTTCGCCTACGCGGATTCCAGATGTGGAGGATCATACACCTTCCCTGTTGGACCTTCTGCTGACCTCTCATCCGGACGGATATCAGGTTTCCGTCGATGCCCCTC